AGTTGTTCAGTTTATTTTTCTGCCTAACATAGTTTTTTTCCGGATTTTTTGGATTTTTTTTTTTTTTTTTTTTTTGGCTGGTATCTTCCTTGGTCCTTGCACGGGCTGGCCACCCGGGACCCGGGCGGCCCGGCTGGTAGCCTAGAAAAAATCTCTTTAATTTTCAATTTTTTATTTTTTTTTACCTGGCCGGGCAAGTGGTCCCGGGCCACTCTGGTAGCCTAGCCGTACGATGTATTCAGGTGAACCCGGTAGCAACAGAAAATCCATCGAGGAAGAGCGCAAGATCGATAACAAAACACATTTGATTCACGTTATTAGGGTCAGCAGAACCCTTGAATTAAGCCCATGATTGGTATACCAATCAACGAAGATGGGAGCGTATCATTGAGCCACATGATTGAAGTAATGTCGCGCGTATAGCAAACAAAACGCATGCCTCACACAGTCATTACTGCTCCATCTAGAGATTCTAGACTGAAAAAATTGCCCCAAATACAGCTATAATGACTGCGCGTACTTATTCGGTTGAAGACAGTAAGTCGAACACCCTGATATCCAAAAGCCATTGGCTATAGCCAGACCTGACCCACACCCCACCCCCCACACAAAAAAAAAAAAAAAAAAAAAAAAAACACCTTACCTCCTCCTCATATTTGTCAACATCTGGGTATAATGCAGCAATGAGTGAATCGAAATTTGGGTCGGCTCGCAAGGACCGCCGGCTTGCACAATGAACTCGGCAAGCGGGGCATTCATTATTCCTGCATAAAGCATAAAACAAGAATAGCACACAGTCCATCCGTTCGACAAATTTAGGAAATGAAAACCACACACACAGGAGAAAAACACGTTAAACACCACTACCGTCTTCACCCGAATAGAACGCGCGGCCATTATAGCTGCATCTGGACTGAAAGTTGGGCCAAATGCAGCTATATAATGACCGGGCGTTCTATTCGGGTGAAGACGGTAGTACACGGCTTGGCCCGAGCCTTGCAGTCCGAAACTTGTCGCCACAAGAAATCGAGGCCACCGAAACGTCAAACGCTGGCCCCGCCCGCCGTTCATAAAAAATACGATTGGCGGTCGTATTTGTTCGTTTCGCGCCTCCTGAATTTGAGTTGCCCGGCCCGCGGCCCAGGCACCTACCGCATGCAGCAAGCACCCTGCTTATGATGGAATGTACAAGAGCTGTAGCGATAGCCTGATGGCAGGGAGGGAAAACTCAAGGAGGGGGGCAACAGGCCAATAAACGGGCCGTCTACTGGAGTTTTAACTTTTAAGGAGTCAGAGAGGCGACGGAATGCCCCCTCTCCAAACCCTCCGATTGTCATTTCCTGAAAAACAAAAAAAAACTCCGCTAGGTCTTTCTTGTTTAAGATTCTTCGCAGAGAAAAAAAAAATAGAGCCGGAAACAAAACTCGACTCTGGAGCGGTTTTAACTTTTAAATTATTAAATCTTTTAATAAATTTTTCGTTTTTTTTTTCCGGGTGTGGTCATACAACGATCCAACAGGGTCAATTCAATTTTGTGTGTCTATATTTCTTTAATATATTTATTATTTATGCCTTTTGTGCAGCATAAAATAATCCAATTGTCAATTTTCAATTTCTATTGAAGAAACTTTTAACTGGCATGTTCATCACCCCTAGCCAAGTAAAAGGGCCTTTACCCGATATAGGCCTCAGGCCTTGTAAAAATAGAGCAGCACGGGCCTTGTAAAAGTAGAGCATTGTGAAAAGGTATCTTGCCAGGGCTCAGAAACGTGAAAACAGGTCAAA